CGAATGTCTTACTACCTATAGCACAGCATGATTTTATTGATGGCCTGCTTGACATATCTCTATCTCAAGTAAACCATGTTCGAAATTCATTAGGTCGCCTACTTGATTTGTGTTTTGTATCGAATCCTGAAGGTGTGTTTCTGTCCAAAGTAGCACCACTCACGCAACCTGAAGATCCATATCACCCAACAATCGAACTTTCATTTGATACGGGTAGAGTTATAGAAGAAAAATCAGAAAAATCCAAACGAATACATTGTTTTCGCAAGGCAGACTTTCTGAGGCTTAATAATTTTATTTCTGGCTTTAATTGGTCTGATCTTTACTTATGCAATAATATGTCCGATGCAGTTAATGTTTTTTATACTGCAATAAACTCATTTTTTAATTCCTGTGTTCCGTGGTACTATCCGTCAACTTCCAATAAATCACCTTGGTTTAGCAAAGAGTTGACACACTTAAGAAATGTAAAGTCCAGACTTTTTAGGAAATATAAAAATACCGGTTCTCAATCTGTTTTTACTAGATATTTAAGTGCTCGGTCAAGATTTACCGTGCTTAATGCTCAGTGTTATAATAGTTACTTAAACCGTTGTAAGGTCCAGTTCTCTCAGGACCCGAAACAGTTTTATAATTTTGTTAACACCAAGCGTAAATCTAATTCTTTTCCTTCCTCGCTGTCGTTCGAAAACATGACGGGAACCACAGATCAGGCAATAGCCGATATATTTGCCCAATTTTTTCAAACGACTTACTCTACTTTAGATTATTCATCTTAGCCTTATTCTTACACCATGCCCAAGTCAAACCTCATATTCTGTCCCACTTTAACAGAAAGCTCTCTTCTTTTGGATCTTCTTCGTATTAAGCCTGTTTATTCGCCAGGGCCCGATGGTATTCCTGGGTGCGTGCTTAGGTATTGCGCTAAGGCCCTGTGCAAACCTCTTCACAAGTTGTTTACCTTATCTCTAGAAACGTCCCAATTCCCAAATATTTGGAAGGAATCATTTGTTATTCCTCTTTTCAAAAAAGGTAACAAGTTAGAAGCCAGTAACTAAAGAGGTTGTCAGCTATTCCTAAGCTTTTTGAAAAATTATTACTCCTCATTTGCAGCACTTTTGCAGATCAATTATTTCTCCGTGTCAACACGGATTTATTAAACGTAGATCCACAATTACAAACCTTCTAGAGCTCACTACATTTGTGATAAAAGGCTTCAATAGTAGTTTTCAAACAGATGTCATTTACACTGACTTTAGTAAAGCATTTGACTCTGTAAATCACTTACTTCTTATTCATAAACTTGACCTTTTAGGTTTTCCAGTTGATCTGCTTAAATGGATTTCAAGTTATCTAAATGGCAGGTCACAAAGGGTCCTTTTTAAAAATTCAATTTCTGAAATTCTCCGTGTTACCTCCTGTCCCACAAGGGAGCCATCTGGGTCCGTTACTTTTTACATTATTTCGTTAATAAATAATGTAATAAGTCATTCTCGCGTACTTATGTACGCAGATGATGTTAAGTTGTGCCTGCAGTATAAGGACATTTCCTGCCATTTAGACTTGCAATCCGATCTAGATAATTTTCAAAACTGGTGCCGAGATAATTTACTAAATTTAAACGGCTCCAAGTGCAAGCTGATGACTTTTTATCGGGCCAATCCGATATACGCGACTTACACGTTAAGTGGCAGCTCTTTGGATAGAATAACTCTTGTAAACAATCTTGGCGTTCTCTTGGACCCTAAACTAAAATTTTCTAACCACATTTTGTCCATGGTTAATAAAGCCAGAGGAGTGCTTGGATTTATTAAAAGGTGGTCAAAAGAATTTGATGATCCTTATTTGACTAAAACTTTATTTATTTCGCTAGTCCGTCCGATTCTGGAGTATGGGTCTCCCGTCTGGAGTCCACAATACGGAATACATATATTGAATCTGTACAAAAAAACTTCCTTCTTTTTGCTTTACGGCGCCTAAACTGGGATGCACATCTTATCTTACCTTCTTATTCTAGTAGACTTCTTTTGATTAATTTACCATCCCTAGCCAACCGTAGAACGATGCTTGGTACTATCTTTATTTATAACCTTATACATGGTGATATTGACTGCCCCGACTTGTTAAGTCGGCTAAACTTTTCTGTGCCAAGTAGATTAACTATAAATTATATTCCCCTAATTTTAAATCATTGTAGATCTAAATATGCCTTGCATGAGCCTTTCAGAGTATTATGTTCTGACTATAATAGACTTTTTCCTGTAATATCAAATCTTGACTCTCTGCCGCTCCTAAAACGATTAATACTTGCTTCATTGGCACAAGATTGATCTAACTATTACTTTTTTCCCCGGACCTTTACCTTTATTTTCCTATCTCGCGTCTATCCTATCGCGAATCGTGCCGTACGATACACGGCTGCGCCCCTCGGTCGGTTGGGCGGGTAAGTAGGCCGTGTGACTCAACGCGAAAAAAAAAAAAAAGAAAGGAAAGTTAATTTTGGGCGGAGCCGAAGTTGAAATACCCTTGCAGAATATTCTGTAAATTATATACTCCAAAATTATTCATAATTATTCATATTCATATTTGGCCGATCCTATAAAACCTATAGAAAATCCCAACTTCCTAACTTTAAAAACACCAAAGTTGTGGCATTTCTGATCAATAAAGCAGCTATAGTATATAGTCGGCCGATCCCGGCAGATCCGACATATATACTGCGTGCAAAGGAAGGAAGGGTGTGTGCAAAATTTTAATTCGATATCTTTTAAACTGAGAGACTAGTTTGCGTAGAAACAGACAGACGGACAGACAGACGGACAGACAGACGGACAGACAGACGGACAGACAGACGGACATGCGGACATGCTTATATCAACTCAGGAGGTGATCCTGATCAAGAATATATATACTTTATAGGGTCGGAGATAACTCCTTCACTGCTTTGCACACTTTTGACCAAAATTATAATACCCTCTGCATGGGTATAATACGCAAACTATTTAAGCCCTTTGCCTTCCAGGGCATTATCTCAGTCCGCGTGCATAAAGAGAATATTGACATTCACAATATTTATATTTTAGTAAAACAAATTACCTTCAATTATCAACCTTTCTTAAGGTATAGAAACATGTTATTAGATTATCCACGATTACTCCAAAGAAAAAAATGATTTTTTTTTAAATAAACAAGAAAGGAAAGCTAACTTCGGGCGGAGCCGAAGTTGATATACCCTTGCAGAATATTCTGTAAATTATATTCTCCAAAATTATTCATATTATGCATTCTTAACACTCATAAAAATCCGAACTTCCTAACTTTAAAAACAATAAAGTTATGGCATTTCCAATCGTTCAGTTATATGGCAGATATAGAATATAGTCGGCCGATCCTTTTGAAATTTGATAGGTCGGATTGATTGGCCAAAAATAAAACCCATAGAAAATCCCAACTTCCTAACTTAACAAACACCAAAGTTATGGCATTTCCGATCAATCAGTCATATGGCAGCTATAGGATATAGTCGGCCGATCCCGGCCGACAGACAGACGGACATGCTTATATCAACTCAGGAGGTGATCCTGATCAAGAATATATATACTTTATAGGGTCGGAGATGTCTCCTTCACTGCGTTGCACACTTTTGACCAAAATTATAATACCCTCTGCAAGGGTATAATAATCTGATATATGTTTATACTCTTGCAGAGGGTATTATAATTTTGGTCAAAAGTGTGCAACGCAGTGAAGGAGACATCTCCGACCCTATAAAGTATATATATTCTTGATCAGGATCACCGCCTGAATTGATATAAGCATGTCCGCATGTCCGTCTGTCCGTCTGTCTGTTTCTACGCAAACTAGTCTCTCAGTTTTAAAGATATCGAATTGAAACTTTGCACACACCCTTCTTTCCTTTGCACGCAGTATATATGTCGGACCGGCCGGGATCGGCCGACTATATCCTATTGCTGCCATATAACTGATTGATCGGAAATGCCATAACTTTGGTGTTTGTAAAGTTAGGAAGTGGGATTTTCTATGGGTTTTATTTTTGGCCAATCAACCCGACCTATCAAATTTCATAAGGATCGGTCGAATATATCCTACAGCTGCCATACAACTGATTGATCCGAAATGCCATAACTTTGGTGTTTGTAAAGTTAGGAAGATGGGATTTTCTATGGGTTTTATATTTAGCCAATCAATCCGACCTAACAAATGTCATAAGGATCGGGCGACTATATTCTATAGCCGCCATATAACTGATTGATCGGAAATGCCATAACTTTGGTGTTTGTTAAGTTAGGAAGGGAAGGGCTTTATTTTTGGCCAATCAATCCGACCTATCAAATTTCATAAGGATCGGCCGACTATATCCTAAAGCTGCCATATAACTGATTGATCGGAAATGACATAACTTTGGTGTTTATAAGGTTAGGAAGTTGGAATTTTTATGAGTATTAAGAATGCATCATATGAATAATTTTGGAGAATATAATGTACATAATATTCTGCAAGGGTATATCAACTTTGGCTCCGCCCGAAGTTAGCTTTCCTTCCTTGTTTTGCGTTATTTGTAATTTTATCGGTCTAAGAGTTGACTTCCGAAATTCAATAAAATTCTTAGTAGACGTAATTGTAACGGATTAATCAAATATTTTATTTTCTTTACGTTTTACGTACAGAAAACTACATTTAATTGAAAGTTTTCTGTTGACGAGGTGCAAGAGAGCTATATATTAATTTTTAATTTTAATCAATATCAACAGCCGAGCCGGTCTAGCCATGTACATGGCTTAATAAAAATTTAAATAGTTTGCACAGAGCCTGACGGACAAAAATTATAAAATTGTTTATAAGGGCGCAATGCACTTACGTTAAAACCATTTTGCAAATAATAAATACACAAATTTTAAAAATAAGTACATTTTAAGTTGAGAATGACTTAAATAAGTTAAATTCTTAAATTAATTAGGAGGAAGGCAATATAAAATTACATGTCTTTTATCTTGGTTCCAATACTTAAGTCATATGGAGCATCTAGCAGGGGTAAACTTTCATACTCGGTTGGTCCAATATCTGCCGTTAACGCGCTTCGCCGTGCTTTTAACATATTGGCTATGGAACGCTCTTGCGCTGTTGTTACTGCAACTTCATTTGAAGACGTGATCTTAGGAAAGGCAGGTGACAAATTTTCCGCTGTTTTAGCTAATGCTGTAATTGATGGCGATATTTTTAGCTGGTAAGACAATGCCTGATCGCCATTTCCTTTCAAAATATTAGCTTTACAAGAATCTGAAGTCAGAGTTTCAATGCGCCGTGCGAATTTTGGTTTTCTTCGACTGTGACTTAATCCAAAAACTCCAGAAACTACTCCACTCGAGCAGACACTATTACTACTTGTCGAAGTTGTAGAAGGAGCAGTGGAAAACTCAGAAAAAAACGCAGGGTCGGTAATGATTGACATAGCTGAACATTCACGGTTATTATTTACCATAATGGGAGATTGTGTTATGGCAATACAATTTTCAATATTATCAGTGATGTTTGATGCAGATGGGGAAGTATCAGGCATGCGTATTGTGTTTGCATTAGTTGATGAAGACAATGAAGCATATTCTAAAATAATTTCAGCTGCTGTGGTACAATGCTCTACCTCCTTTTTACGTCGAAAGCTTCGTTCTTTCGTATGCCATAAGCAAGCGGGTGATGAATTGGATTCTTCACTGTCACTGTAAACATCAGGTGTTGAGCTATCTAGATTAGATTTATCCATATTAACAGTTGAAGCTAAATGTAATATAATATCCTCTATTTCGTTTAGTGTCTTAGGTTTTGCTGAAGTAGGGAGCAAATCAGCGTCGCTTTTAGTATCCAAGTGTTTAGATTCAATTTGAATACTAGTACTTTTCTTAGTTAAGAACTCATTTTCATCAGATAATGCTATTGCAGCCAGAGCCATAATGGTATGAGTTGGAGTAGGACTAAATTCAGACCCTTCTTCTGATGTGAGTCCTAAGCGTTGTAGGCTGCGAAGGTAGTAGAGCTCAGCGCTGCTCCATTGATTATAAAGTCGTTTAACTTGTTCCAATACGCTTTCAATTGACTTGCAATTTTCATCTAATTGTCGTCCCACAGTCGCCTCAAGGGCTGATCCAGAGACATTATTGATATCGACGTGACGCACACCCAGACTTTTTCTAAATTTAGCTGATAATAAGGAAAGTTGTTCTAGTCTATTTTTAACATCGATAAGTACTTTTTTATGTTCCAGTATAAATTCACAAGTGTGTTGTAGATCGTACCCTTCTGTGGATTTAGCGTCGTTACTGAGTTTAAAGTTTGGTACATAGTTAAAAATAGGATTACCATTTTCCGATTCTTGTATGTTTCCTTTCCTCGTGCTTTGATTTTTATTAGAAAATTCAATCAAAGGTTGATCGCCACATCTTAAGCAATCCTCGACGTCATTAAGTAATTCAATATTGTTATTATCATCTTGCGAAGATGGGTTTGGTGGGAGTTCATCTTGACGAACCGTAGGCTTTTTTAAACCTGAAAAATTAACCATATTTGTATTCCTTTCGACGGATTTCTCGGAATCCTGATCTGCTAACTGTGGTTGCAAAAGTCGAGCATAAAAAAGTTGTGTTGCTAAAAGTTGCTGCTGTGAGCAATTTTGTTGGTTTAGCATACTATTGGTGTATATACAAGAAATCAGTTTATTTCGGTTGCGAAAAAGCTCTTCTTGACATTTATCTGCCTCTTGTGCTGTTTGCCAATGCTGAGAAGTCGCTTTTGGCTGGCGTAAAAGCAGTTCGGATAATGAAGCTGACATTCCGGTCGAACTACTTGATGGAACAACAAAGAATGTTTCCAAATCATTACGATTATTTTGTTGTGTACTATTGTCAATTAATGGCGTATATTTGTCCAAGGAGCTCTTGTCTGAAGATTTCTTAAATGGCTTTATTAGTATTTCTCCATCCCGGCAATTTTTTTTTTTTATTAATTCCTTTGAATCCGAAGTCTTTTCACCATTGGATGTCCCACAGTTTGGCATTATAGGAATTTTTAATTTATTTTTTGTTACATTATATTGTATGTTTTGCTTTTCATTAAGTTTTTATTTCGTACTATATTTATACATCATTTAAGGAACGGAAACTATTTTCTGGAAATCAGTGAGGTTGTTTTTCTAATAAGTTTTATGTTTTAGGTGAATGTAACGCAAATTACTTTTCATAAAAAAACATAATACAGGTTAATATTATCATTTAGATTTCGAAGTGTTACTAAAAGTTACCCTGTTGCCCGCTTCTAGCAATACAGGTCGTGGAGGTTTTGCAGTTTATGGGTATTGAATTTATTTTTCCTTAATTGTATATTTTTTGTTTAGATATTTTATTTGGTACGTAACTCTTAAAAAACTCGTTTGAGCGTTAATCTTTGATATATACTCAAAGTATTTTGCACTACTTCCCAAACTTTTTTTTGTTTAATGTTAGTATGAAACTTGTCTGAAGTCAATTATATTTTTAAATAAATATAATGTTAAGAACACTGTTTAATTATTGTTGAATGAGAATATATAATTGGCACATATTTTAAAACGTGTTATTGGATTAATTACTATTATTTATTTTCTTTATAATTGTTCACAGAGACTTTTTCGCATTAAACATTTCTTTTGTAGTACTATTTTTATTGTTTTCCAAGGGAGAAATCGATTACAGTATATTTTATGAATTGACAATTCTGTGTTTTATTGTCCCGGAATATTTCTGAATTATTTTTAAGAAAAATTGTTCACATATATAGATTTTCGCAAAATTTTATGTACTGCCACAACAATTTGCCGAATTACTCTCTTTCGGCCATTAAAAATAAAACTTAACGATGAAAGTGTACGAAGTCTATCCGAACAAGTGACCCGAAGACAATCCAACGGCACGAAAGAAAATAAATGCGTGAGAGACATTGCGCAGAGAACAACTCTCATATTTTGGTTTTCTTTCACGTTTCGATAAAACTTTTTAATATAACAAACATTTAAAACTTTTTACCTTAATTATGTCAATTAAACATAATATTTTAAATATAGATTCTGAAGTTAATATTAAGATCTGGTTTTCTACTCCCGCTTCTCCAATATGTTGTTTTGTGTTTTTATACATTGGTGTATAAATCGAAGTATTTTGACATGTAAATTAGAAGAAGTATCTGTACACGAATTTTATACGTAACATTTACATTTATTAACTGAAATGGCTGCTTCGGCAGTAAAAATAAATAAGCCCACAAAAAAGCGATATAAGAACTACACAAGCTTTGAAATTAATTTTTGATTCAAGCGTATGCTTTCAAAAATGTAAGCTAAGTTCGATGTAAAACATAAGTTCGGATGCAGGCATTTGTATCTTTTTGTTCAGACATTTGTACAGTGAATAATTATAAATACTTTTTTGGGCTCTATTCTTGCATATTAGATATTTTGATACAAATACAATCATTTTTACTTTACTAGAATAAAACCTCTATGTATTAAGCGGGTAAGAAATTCAGAAATATGGATCTAGTAAAATGGTTCAATAATAAATTTCCGATAAAAATAAAGAATACAAAAATTTATTAATTTATTTCCAAAGTATTAAATTCCTCTTAAAGAAATAAATTCTTTGGGCTCGTTTGCTTAAATTAAGAAAAACGTGTAAACTAAAATTAATAAACTTTTAAATTGTGAAATTTATATATTTCATATTTAAATTATTTTAAATTTTTAAAATTTGAGGGCACACTTATCACAAGGAAATTTTTCTTAAATCAAGAAAGTTTTTCTCAAATGTAGAAATTGTCGCCCTAAACTAAAATCGGTCTAAATCCAAGAAAAAATTCTATATTTAAGTAAAAATGGTACATGTTTAGAATAGAATAGAAACATATTTTATGTATAACAAGAGAGAACGCTATAGTCGAGTGCCTCGACTATTAGATACCCGATACTCAGCTAAACAACTCAATATAAATATGCCTTCTTGTAATAAATTGACTAGAAATATTAAACATAAATACTTATATTGGCTAAACACATAAATTCTTAAATAGTATTATGTATATTAAAGTCTAAATGTTTGCACAACACGAGTAACGGGTATAGCGAATAGCTTTCTTTGGTAGGAGTTATCTTTGCCGGGCAATTGCAACTGTGTACAATGTAAATACATACATATGTATATGCTTACATACATACACACATACGCCTTTGTTTGACTCAGACCTCCAATTTGGCTAACTAGATTTGATTTGCATAGTTCTTGGGATATAGTTCGGTATTGACAAATGAAAACCATCGCAATTTCCTTTAATAGAAATCCTTATCGAGAATTAACGTTGACTCTGTTGAGCACCTTGGCCAGCTGTTCCAAAGTCATCCGTTAGATGGCGCCATGAAAGGCGGAAATGTAGGCGATAGCCAGGCTTAAGCGTTAGAGTGGGCGTGGCAAACTTTTATTAGGCCAATCGATATTTATTGATGAAACAAATACATATCAATTAAAATTTTCATAATATCATCAAAACTGTGGCCCCAGCTTGTGGCTTGTGGGCGTCAGAGGGGGCGTGGCACCATTTTGAAACAAACTTGCGCTGCGTAGGAACTCCTAAAATCTACATGCAAAATGCCAATCTTCTAGCTTTTATAGTTTCCGAGATCTCAGCGTTCATACGGACAGACAGACGGACAGACGGACATGGCTAGATCGACTCGGCTAGTGATCCTGAACAAGAATATATGTACTTTATAGGGTCGAAAACGCTTCCTTCTACCTGTTACATACTTTTGCACGAATACAATATACCCTTTACTCTACGAGTAACGGGTATACAAATATTTTCTATGAAATAGAATAGAATTGACCATAAAATTGTTCTAACCCTAAAAACAAGAAAGGAAGCAAACTTCGGCAAGCCGAAGTTTATATGCCCTTGCAGTTATTACAAATCGACATTTCGATTTCTAAGCCTATATTACTAATAAGAAAGGAAAGCTAACTTCGGGCGGAGACGAAGTTGATATACCCTTGCAGAATACTCTGTAAATTATATTCTCCAAAATTATTCATATGATGCATTCTTAATACTCATAAAAAATCCCAACTTCCTAACTTTAAAAACACCAAAGTTATTTCCAATCGTTCAGTTATATGGCAGCTATAGGATATAGTCGACCGATCCCGGCCGTTCCGACTTATACACTGCGTGCAAAGGAAAGAAGGGTGTGTGCAAAGTTTCAATTCGATAGCTTTAAAACTGAGAGACTAGTTTGCGTAGAAACAGACAGACGGACGGACAGACGGACATGGCTATATCAACTCAGGAGGTGATCCTGATCAAGAATATATATACTTTATAGGGTCGGAGATGTCTCCTTCACTGCGTTGCACACTTTTGACCAAAATTATAATACCCTCTGCAAGGGTAGAATGATCAGTAATTAAATAAACAACTATTAAATTTAAATTTTATTTAAATTATCCCGCAAATCCGTTTTTTGAATTTCAACTGTTTGTTAACAAGCCCAGCTGATTGACAGTACGACCGTAGCACGCTCAATACTGATGAACTCTCAAAAATGCTGTCACACTGGAAAGATTAAAGTTTTTCCGCTAGCGAACTCGTTTTTCGATCTGAGTACTAGAGTACTTGAGGAGTACTAGTGGAGTTTCTTAATAGCTAGGTTTCTTTAAACCGAGGTTTTGATAAAAACGCCTTTAAAACTCTTGGTTTACCCACTTAGAGAAGCATGCGACGACAATGTATAGCTACATAAATTATGTCCCAATCGTTTTAAAATCTGAAAGCTTGAGGTGCTTCTAATTAATAAATTTTTATAACCTCGCAGAGGGTATTATAATATTGGTCAAAAGTGTGTAGGAAAGCTAACTTCGGTCGGAGCCGAAGTTGATATACCCTTGCAGAATATTTTGTAAATTAAATTCTTCAAAATTATTCAAATGATGCATTCTAAATACTCATAAAAAATCCAAATTTTCTAACTTTAAAAACACCAAAGTTATGGCATTCCAATCGTTCAGTTATATGACAGCTATAGGATATAGTCGGCCGATCCCGTCCGTTCCGACTTATATACTGCGTGCAAGGAAACGAAGGGTGTGTGCAAAGTGTTAATTCGATATCTTTAAAACTGAGAGACTAGTTCGCGTAGAAACAGACGGACGGACATGCTTATATCAACTCAGGACGCGACCCTGATCAAGAATATATATACTTTATAGGGTCGGAGATGTCTCCTTCACTGCGTTGCACACTTTTGACCAAAATTATAATACCCTCTGCAAGGGTATAATATGAAGCTATGTCGATTTTGTGCTGCATTTTGCCATTGTTTATCTGGCAGCTATATGATATTGTTGTCCGATTTTAAATTAATTAAAACCGTAATTCAATAATATTTAAATAATACCAAATCCCAAAAAAAAACAAAATATTTTAAAACAACAAAGTTGAAAAGTTAACGGACAGACGGACATGGCGAGTTCGACTCTCCTGGTGATGCTAATCAAGAATATATATACTTTATAGGGTCGGAAATGTTTCCTTCACTGTGTTGCAAACTTTTGACATACAAATTATAACTTTGTTGTTTTTAATTTTTTTGAGATATGGAAATATTTAAATATTATATAATTAATTAAAATTGGACAACAATATCATATAGCTTTGTACCTTCGAAACAATGGCAAAATGCAGCGCAAAATAAACATAGCTTCATTGTTTTTAGTAATATGGGCATAGAAATCGAAATGTAGTCGATTTGTAATATCTGCAAGGGTATATAAATTTCGGCTTGCCGAAGTTTGCTTCCTTTCTTGTTTCATATACCGTCCAATAACTCCAGGTCTTACAATTCCAACATTGTAAAAAGAGTGAGAAAATATAGAATTTTCATGTTAAGTCCTTAACTCTTCATTTTGTAGTTTTCGAGATCTCGACAGACGGACAGACAAAAGGACATGGTTTGACCCTGATCAAGAAAATATATACTTCATACAGTTAAAAAGCTTACATATCTACACAGATTTTTAAAGCACCTCCGTATGAACTGTTTTTCGATCTAATTTCTTAGCGGAAGCTGAGAACAGAAAGGTACTTAAAAGTTAAACGGCGGTTAGAAAATAAATATCAAAGAGTTACATGTGAATAAATGCTATTAAGTTATGTCTGTTTTCCAATACATGGTGAAAATAATACTAATAATCAGGAAAGTTTATTTTATCCAAAACAAAAAAGAAACCAACTTCAATAAGTGAAAAGAGAGATACAAATTAGATTTAATAGTAAACTGTCGTTAAACAAAGATATAGGTAATTGTTATGTTGTCATATTTCTTATTAAAAGAACATTTAAAAAAAAAAAAAAAAAATATGACAAAAGCGTCAACAAATCGGCAAGTTCTTTTATAATAACCTCGAAATAATGAAAACATTGTGGAAATGATAATGATTACAACTAAAATATTTTTTTATTATAATAATAATAATATTGTGCTTGATGAAATTTCACGTCTACTTAAAAATGTTTTGCCAAGAAATTAACGAAATAAAATACAAATTCAGTGTTTTTTATACCCTTGCAAGGAGTACTCTAATTTCATTCAAATGTTTGCAACGTAGTAAAAGCATTTTCGACCCTATTAAATACACACTCATAGCAAAGAAACTTTATTTTTTTTAAATCAAGAAAAAAATTCTTTTTTAAAAAAAATTCTTTTCTGAAAACAAGAAAACTTTTCATAAATCAAGAAGGTGTTTAAATGTTGAAATTCTATAACATAGAAAACATTTTCTAAAATATCACACCCTGGCCATAAAATTGTTCTAAGGCTGTCCTAGTAGC